AGCCCGAATAAATAAAACTTACACATTCATAACACTGGACTATAAGATAATGTTGTTGATAGGTTAACCTTTATGCACACCTCGTGGCCATTACTCGGACTTCAAGTGAAAACAAAGCATTTTTTTTAACTTGGTTTTCCAGTAACAATAAAAAAAAGTAAGAGAAAAAAAGCTTAACTATGATTTTATGACTAGAACACTTCAGATTTTATAATCAATGGGATAAAGATTCTTTTTAACATGATGGACACAAAGTAAGGCTTCAGTTTAGCTGTATATTTACGTTGTAAGTCAAACACTTCACTAAGAACTTTTGGATATTCAAAAAACTAAGATAAATATATGTCTGGGTTCCTACTGGTAAATTATTGGTCATATCTCTAGTCATCCTTTTTCTGTTACTTATTTCTGGTTACTGGAAAATCAAGTTAAAAAAAGTGCTCGAGGTCAACAAAGATAGATATCTAGTGAATTGTCTTAAGATGCACAATAGTTGACTGCCTTTTCGGTGAATCTGCAATGTTATCGGCCATGACATGACATCTCTGTTTCAGTCACTTTCTCACTGGCGTAACGTAGCTGGTAGAATTTTGTCTCTTGTATAAGTATTTTCAGTGTAATTGTTCTGATGATCTTTCGCCGTAGAAATTGTTAGTTGTAACCGTAAGTTCTATGGTAATAGTTTCTTCTTCTCTCGCACTTCTTGTTTTTGTGGAACTCTTTTCCAGCTTCCTGTTTCCCTGTGGGTCTTAGTGGCTTTATTGCCTTGCTTGGGGTGAAATGATAAAAAAGGGCATATAAACTAATAAACGTAAATATATGAAATGGACATGATTTTTGTTTATATGAAAATACAAAAACAATATTTCTTACTTTTCTGGCACTACTTAAGTTAACTGGTCCGCTATTAAAAAAAATAAATAATGAATAATATTTTTTTATAAATTTCGTTGATTAGCATTCATTAGATCTTTCTTGATTCACGACATTTGTCAGAATCGAAAACTATTGTTCTATTTTTTTAACACAGGTCGTTAAATAATTCTACGACTATTAAACAATGTGAAATTGAAAAAGTAGGCTGCAGTGAGATTTGAACGCGTTTCCAGTGCTCTGGGAAGCCATCTTCCATGAATGTTGTCGATACCGAATATAACCTCGAAATGTAAACGTATCGGAAACTCAAATCTAGTCGCGTGGCTATGAAATCTGACTTTCAATTATCCACAACATATTGTCTGTTCACTCTCTAGTGTTGTTTTATATACCATCTTCGTTTGGGACGTGGTCTGCATGACTCTCAAACATCTTCCCCGTCTTTTATTGCTCAAGGTAAGTTTTGACCGATTATCCTCTCCGTTTCCTTGTGTTATCTATGCACAAAGATGCGTTAAGTAGATTATTCCCTGTCCTACCGAAAGATTTTCTTGCTTTCCATATGCCTTGTGAGTGTTAAATTCTCCAAATCCTCTTTCATCCATGTGCGCCGTAAACACCCTTTTCCCGCTTTCTTTTGCATCAGTTTCCTTGTAGTCCTTATTCTATTGAAAGCTTCCTTGTTGTCGATATTTTTTAAGCATTTTCTCCACCGCCTTAACCGGGTATTGACCTCACACTCTTTGGGTCCTGTCACTGGATCTAACTAACGCCTTTATCCACTGTGCCATGTGTCCTCGAGGACATATGGCACAGTGGATAAAGGCGTTGGTTGGATCGAGTGACAGGACCCAAAGAGATGTGAGGTTAAGGCAGTGAAGAACTTGGAGAGGTGAATTAACAGGAGATAACTGATAACTGACATCCATTAGACATGGCACGTGGAATTAGAACAGTCTACTCCAGCGAGCGAAATAAAGGGTTCAGTTCGACATTCCAACCACCTGAAAGGTCGGAGCGTACAATGGCTGAAACGTTGTGATAAATATGGCAACAAAGATGAGGACAATAGTCCCAATAATGTAAATAGTGTACATAATACCTCATCTCAGAAATATAGACAGATATTTTAGATGAAGTATATTCAATATTAATTTTAACTGGCTTGTCGTTCGCGCTTCTCAGTTCAAAGATAGTAGAACGTAACTACAAAATGAAAGAAGAAAAACTAGAAAAATGAATAATAAAAATATCTTAAATTTATTTAGACAAATTAAATAAATGCTTTCTACGATTATCAGTCGAGCTGACATGATCTTTTTCGTGGAAATAATTGTGCATGTCGTAAATATATATATATATATATATATATATATATATATATATATATATATATATATATATATATATATCATAAGAATGCGAGATTAAATATTTCCTAGGTAAAATAATTGTTTATTTACTTCTGAAATCCGATGACTTAATTTTCGACCAATCGAGGATAGGTGATTTTGTACTTTTCCTTGAACGCTTGAACTTCTTGCAAATCTCCCGTCATAGGTGTGGCGTTTATACAACTTCATGTAATTCTCTTGTCTTGTGTGCGTGTATCTTAAGTTCAGATGGGGTCACTTTCTTCTTTATATTGTTGCACCCACCGACATCCAACAAGGCCCGATTTTGCACTTGCGGGCTTTGATGTTACCTTCTATGTCAATCTTTTGATCTACTAGGTCTTAGTGCATAGGTGCAGCATAATCTTCCCAGCCTTATTTTCCCCATTGTAGTAGTAGGCACCCGTTAGTCTCTGCATATGGAGTCTACTACGGTAACTAGCTAATCCCTGTTGCAGGCGGCTACTCAGGCACATCTAAGTGTGTTCAACACCCGCCAACATTTATACTGCAACTATGCTTAGCAGAACAGTTTGTCAGAATACATTGTTTGGTGTTATCAGTAGTTGAACAAGACCAATACGCTCTAAACCTCGGCCAAGATGACTTGTGAATTCGTGCTAGCACAGTCATCTACTGCTTCCAAAGGCTAGAATCGCAAAGCATGGTGGTATGGTTTTCAGGCAATACCCAACTGTGCACACTGGGATCATCTTCCTTGACCCAAATTGTCAAGAAGTTACCTCTTTGAAAAATCAACTATGATGTCATTCGAATTGATTATTGAACGTTAACTTCTTACCACCTCAGCCAGTTTACGGTCAAATCACGCTGAAAACACCGGTTCTCGTTCGATCACCGAAGTTAAGCATCGTAGAGCCAGGTCAGTACTTAGATGGGGGACCGCTTGGGAACACCTGGTACTGTAAGCCCCCAAAGTCCAACCCTTACCTCACAGTCGGTGGGGGGTGTAAACGGTAGTGTCAGAGCTATGCCGCCCGGAACTTCGTTCCTGGTAGGGCCACCCAAGGCGGACAGGTCTGACACACACGCCGGCTAACAAGGGCTCTGGTGAAAATCCAAGGAGCGTCTGCATCGGTAACCGGCGGCTTCTGGTCGTTCCTGTCTCTGCGTCTGTGGGAACCCCGTGGCAAGCAAGAACGTTATTCGAGTAGGCCTGGGTACCCTACTTCTGTAATTTATCCCAAGAATCTTCTCATAACAGGAAGAAGCCGGCTCAATCCGCCCAGGGTGAATGCCGCATCAGCACAGTACAGTAGTACCACCTCAGCCACTTCGTCCTTGAGTAGGGATTAAATAATCCAACAGTGGATAAAAAGTATACAAGAGTCAAGTCTACAGTTCCATAGCTACCGTATCCTCTCTCAAATTATTCACGTTATATTGGTTAATTAATTTTAATAGTAGGAGTGACTTTCTAAGCGTAGCTTAGGTTTGGCACATGGCCGAAAGTATAGGGTACCTAGTGAGGATCGAACTCACTACTCAGTCATAGATGTTGTAGCGAGAGAAGTTTGCTAACCATTACACAGCCTCGAGGTACCCTACTACTAGTAGTAGTATACGTAATCTTCTTCTATGTGCTGTGTCTCTTCAGTACGTTGGCGATCATGGCTGTCCACGATTTCCTTTCCTTTGTAATTCTTAATAAAAATTGTCTTTTTGTTATCTCCCCCAAATTCTTGCGTTGTTTACTTCTGTCTTTCTTGTCTTCAATATGTTCTGTGAGTGTCAAATTTTCCAAGCCGTCTTTCCTCATCATGTGTTCTAATTTAGACTGTCTCTTCCTGATTCTAAGTATAAGTGCCCCTTTCATTTTCATTTTCTCTAAAACTTTGTCGTTGTTCGGGCCATGGTATTCTCAGCATCCTTATGTAGAATCACACTTCTGTTGCTTCAAGGCTCCTCATCTGTGAGGAGATTGTCCTGCATTAACTACTATATAGGAGGACTGATATTACATAACAGTAATATTATGTAAAAGTTCAGTAATCTTTTCTTTCTTTCTAACAATTTTTTTCTGTTTCTTAATACTTTGCTTAGATTTTTTGAATGCATCTTTCACCATCAAAATTCTTAACAGCAAAGGCTTGAAAATGGCTAAAGAAGTGACCAAAGAGCTTGGAACAATAGACACGACGGACAATTTTTTTATATTCCATTTCTCCTACCAAACGGAAAATGTAAGAAATACTAAATAAAAAAAATTAAAATTTTTCTATATATATATATATATATATATATATATATATATATATATATATATATATATATATATATACATATATATGTATATATATACAGACACACATGCACACACACACATATATATATATACACATATATATATTTGTAAGCAGATATGTGCGTGCGTGTGTGCGTGTGTGTGTGTGTGTGTGTGTGTGTGTGTGTGTGTGTGTGTGTGTGTGTGTGTGTGCGTGCAAGCGTTGCAAATGGTTGCCTTTATATATTTTTGCTCTCAGATATTGGGTCGAGATGGTGATATTATGTCAAAATAGCTGTATAACCCACACCAATGCCCATGAGATCTCACAAAAACATGTCCGTCTCGACGCACATTTCCCTCCTACAGAGAAATTTCTTGAGTGCACATTGTCATATTCAGTGGGCAGAAATCGCACCGGAAGGAATCTTGCTTGTCAATTTGAATAAGAATCAATCAAAGCCTCGTTTTGGTTCTGTTTGTAGAGGGCGCTATTGGTCCAGATTACTCACATTGTTGTGTACAAAAAGCTTTCCTTTCTGCTTTACTTTTTCCTCTTTTTCTTTGTTGCTACTATTTTATCTCTTTTGTGTTCCCTTTTTTTCCTTTTCCATACTTTCGTCTTTTCCTTTCTAGTAAATTTCTCAGTGTGCTTTTGTCTGTCTCTACCCTTTCCCATTACTTGTATCTGCTTCTTATTTTTCTTTCTTCCTCTATTCTTGTTTTTTTTTTTTTTGTTGTTGTTGTTTTGTTTTTGCTTTTCTTATCTCTTTCTTTCCCACTTCTCAGCTTCGTGTTTTCTCAATCTAATTGTTTTTCTTCTTTTTCAATCTGTTTTCTTCTTGTTTTCTTTTTTCATCTTCCATTCATTCTCTCCTTTTTTTTTACTTTACTTTCTTTTTTCTTTTTATTTCTTTATCTTATTTATTTTCCTCTTCGGACCTTTTGCTTCGACTTTTCATTGCTACTAAAATTCCTTTTTCTAATTCTTCTTCTTCTTTTTCGCTTAGATCTTCTTTTTTTCTTCTTTTGTCTACTTTTACGTTTCTTCTTCTCTGTCCACGTCTTCTTCTTCTTCTTCTTCTTCTTCTTCTTCTTCTTCTTCTTCTCTTTTCACTGCTTTTTCTATATCTACATCCTTGCACATCTTCTTCCTGTTATCTCTACTCTTCGCGAAATGATGTCTTGTTTTTCTCTCTTCTCTTTTTCTTCTTCTTCTTCTTCACTTTTCATTTCTTTTTCTTATTTTTTTTCTTTATTTTTCTTCCTTTCTTTTTACCCGCTTTCCCGTCTTTGTCTTGTTTCTTACGCCCTTTCTCACCATCATGTTTTGTTTCATCTTTTTGTCTTTTTCTTTCGCTACTCTTACACTTCTTCTTCCTTCCTTTCTCTATCTTCTTCTTCTTCTACTTCTCTAATAATTCAAAGAAGACTCATAGACAAATGAACAATCTAATCAACTAAGACAGACACATCCATCTTCAGTTTGATAAAAATTTAATAACTTTCTCCCAGCTTTGTATGAATTTGGGCATAAAATGAGAAAAAAAGCGAGCTTTAATAATCAAATCGACATTGCATTTCTTCCGGACTAAAAAGAAACGAGACCCAGAGGAACAGAAACTAGAAAATGCAGCACACTGGGTGGAATAATGCGCGTGATCATGTTGCAGAAGGAGAAAGCTGAAGTGCAAATGGCGGCTATATCGTCACTCGCTAAGTCGAGTGAGATTTCGATTGGCAAATCTCGAACTGCAAATGAATGATGCGTATCAAGAAAGAAAAAAAGGTTAATTTAAAGGGATATTCAACCATGGTAGAAGAATTATGTTTGTCTATGTATGTATGTATGTATGTATCTATCTATCTATCTATCTATCTATCTATCTTTTTCACTTTGTTCATTTATCTATCTCGTGTTGTTCATCTATCTATCTATCTATCTATCTATCTATCTATCTATCTATCTATCTATCTATCTCATTTTGTTCATCTACCTATCTATCTCTCTATTTTATGTTGTTCATCTATCTATCTATCTATCTATCTATCTATCTATCTATCTATCTATCTATCTTACTTCTCCTTTGTACCAAATACATCCTAAAGGATTCCAAGTCCTAATTTTATCTTTTTTCGATATTAGAAAAAAATCAAAAGCCAACAATTTGTTATTTCTTATTAATGATGAATGCAAACATGTCTCTCTACACCTTCCTTTTCAATATCTGTAATTTGTGCATTGCCGTTATTGCTTATTGGGAAAGATAATAGTGAGGTTTCCCGTTGTCATCTTCGGTGTTTTAAAATTAGAATTGCTTTCTCGGAGACAATGTTGAGATTGTCCAGTTTGCCCTAAATATTTATTTGAACAGGAGAAGGATTAATTCGGGCAATGTGAAAGAGAAAGCGAAAACAAATTGTCGCAGCTTGAGTTTGAACTCGGCACAACGTTTACATTTCTGTGCAGATAACCATTTTCCTACTCACCCTCTCTATTTCTTAATGTAGCTGTTGATAAGGCGTAAATCGTGTGTACATCCCCCGTTATGAAGGGTTAGGCGTCACTGTGTCTAATCTTAAGATCTTTTAGTAAAGAAATATCTTTTATAAAGCGTCAGCTTCACGATAGTCTTCCAGAAGTTATTGCATGGAAAACCTAATTGTTGTTTTTACTTAATTCATAAAGAATGTGCGGCACAGGCATGAACCTGAAATTGCCCTGACGATACTATTATAGTGGAATTAATCAGAACAGAAAACATCTCTCATTTCCAGATTCTGTTACATGCGTTCTTTTCTTTTCTTAGCTCTCTCCCTCACTTGTTTACTTTTTTCTCTCCTTCTTGCTCTTTATCTCTTTTCAACTCACTCTCTTTCTTTCTTTTCTCTTTGCTATCACTTCTCTTTTACTTTCTTTGTTTTCACTTTTCTTTTCTCCTCCCTTTATGTTCCTTCTTTTTTTCTTTCCCCCCTCTTCTACTTTTTCCCTTTCCTCTTTCTGATTTTTTGCTTCCTCTCTTTTTTACTTCCTCTCTTTTCTTTTTCTCCTTACTCTTTTCTACTTCCTGTCTTTTTCTTCTTTTTTTCTTTTCTACCGTCCTCTTTTCTCTTTCCTATCTTTTCTTTCGTTTTCCTTTTCTCTATCTTTTACCTTCTTCTATTTTCCTTCTTTGTCATCTTCTGATCTTTTCCTTTCATTCTCTTCTACTTCCTTTTCTTATTGTCTGTTTATCGCCTTTTCCCACTTTTCCCTTCCTATCTTTTCTGCTTCCTCTATTTCCTTGTTTTCTCTTTGCTGTCTTTCCACCTTTCTATCTTTAAGAATTAAAGTAAGAATAAAGAAAGAACGAAAGAAACAATACAAGTATTACAGAACAAAAGACTTAAAGGAAGAAAAATAGTTAAAGCAAGAAACAACAAAGAATTAAAGAAAGAAAGAAAAAGTAAGAAAGAAAAATTACAAGAAAAAAATGAAAGAAAGAAAACAGTGAGAAAGAATAAAGGAAAAAATAAAGAAAAAAATTAATTAAAGAAAGAGAAAAGAAAGAAAGAATCAAACCAAGAAAGAAAAAAGGAAGAAAAAGAAAGACAGAAAGGAAGAAAGAAAGAATTGCATGTATGTTGCAATGTCGGAACATTCTAATTACTGGTCGACTCGATGAAAGCATCATACTTTTGTTCTGCAAGTTCATTTTCCCCATTCAAACTGTGGTCGAAAGATCAAAAAACTAAGAAAATTCACCTAATAGCAAATTGAATTGTAAAAATAAAGGGAAAAAATGTTTAGTGTCGCCTTATTCACACTGCGAGTCTAAGTTAGTTTCGAATCAGCAAGATTTGTTTTGAATGTGTTTCAGATCTGCTAAGAAAGTTGACGTTGGAATAAAAAGAGAGAGAGAAGACCAAGTGGACTCTGAGTGAGGCAAATCAAGCAAGAGAGAAGCAGGAGCAATTGGAACGAATGGTCAGACATCTTGAAGAATTTTTAGATGCGAAATCGTATGACAGAAGAATTATTTACCGCCCAATGACCGATGGCATTCTAAAATAAATATGTTTGTAATTTCAATAATTTTAAGATTTCCTAAAATTTGAAAGGTTATTTAATAAGATAAGATAATAAGATAAGATAATTTAGCTTTGCTTATACTGTAAGTTCTCGGGTTACTAGAAAATCCGATCTGCGACGATTCGTGATTACGATGGAATCTCCATTAATCTTATCCAACTTATGTCGTTTGCATAAGGCGACATTGATCAATTTCTGATTATACGCCATATTGGATTGTTGTACAGTTATTCTATTTAGTTTGCGTTGTGGTTGTAGAAACTTACTGCCTTTCATTATGGTTCCCAATCACAGTGTAACCTTTTCTGATGACTGTGCTTCGAATAAAAGGAAAGCCATCATCATGGAAGTGAAATTAACCATTGTTAAACGCCCTGATAAGTCAGAAACAACAACGAACCTTTGCCTGATGCTTGGCATAAGTTGTTCGACTGTCGCTTCAAACATGTACCTATGTGTATACACATTGGGTTTCCCTGTAGGAGATAAGGACATTTTCTTGTTAAACTATAAGTTAGTGAATTCTCGATAAAAAAGAAAAATAAACTTGAATTTGTTTTTTGAGTCCTGATTATGTTAACAGATGCCATAGAAACGTGTTGTTATATCCTAGATTATTACTCTACTATTGCGTTAGTTTAAGTGAGTGACGTAAGGGTTTGTTTACGGAAAATCGCGGCTATGTTCTGACTTACACGGAAAATCTCGTTACAACGTATCGACGTAGGAACGAAACTCTGTCGTAAGTCGAGGACACCTTTATCACAGGCTATAAGAATTATTGGGCGAGGCGAGACGTTTCGGTTGTTGTATTTAATAAAATATGTCACATGATTGATTGCACAAAAGGTGTATGCACATATTATGGGATAGAGATATTATCCATATCTAATTCTCTCCCTGAATATCTTGTACATTTACTGAATGAAACATGCATGCTAATGTAACATTTATTATGGGACACTGATATTATTAATTACTGCTTGTCTCATAATCATATATTTGGTGATTTTTCTGTAATTCATTTATATAAGCTCGCTAGATTGGGTACATCAACATGTCCTGTAAATGCCAAATTTTCCTCAAGATGTCTTCTAAAAATTTTAATTGTCTCTTTTTTATTTTAAGTATAAGCATCATGTCTTTTTTTTCTTGAAATTTCCTCGTTACTCGCATATTCAGTCCATGGCTTTCTCGACATCTTTCTGCAGAAGCACATCATTGTTGCTTCGTCTCTTCTTCACCTGTGAGGAAATTGTCCAGCATTCACTGTCATATAGGAGGGCTGATATTGCATAGCAGTTCAGCTTTGTTTTCTTTCTTTTTTTTTTAGTCTAACGGAATTTTCCTGTCTCTTCATACACTGCATTCCTTTTGGAAGACTTTTTTGCTATTTCAATGTGCCTTCATATTTCTGTCTCACGTTTTCCATCATCTGTTATAACACGTCACAGATATTTAAATTTCTGTATTTGATTGATTCTGACGCTTCCATTTCATATCTCGTAACTTGGCATCTTACAATTAAATCCTTTTGTAATTCCTTGTCAGTCCTTTGTCTCCCTTTCCCTTAACACTTTATTTAGGAGGTTATGCAGCGGACTCTACTATCAACAAAATATCATCCTCATATCTTCTGCGATTTTGTCCGCCATTAATAAATTGTAGTAGGACTTCTACGAGTTTGAATTCGATCGAACGATTGCCTAAGAATTTCAGAAAATATTTAAATAAAATTTTGAATGTTAGATGTCGTCCGCTCTTCTTTTATTCAAACCCATGAAATATTTTTTAAAATGATACCCTACATAAAGGGAAATTTAAATTGAGCATTTTGTATAGGCGGATACGTATCCCCTAAATAAAAAAATTGAAAATGTTGAAATAAAAACCTATCTTGCACATGAAGAACAGCAAGCTATTGAAGCCATGCTGAAAAGCAATGATTTGCAGTTCTTGTTTTTTTTTTTTAATTTCCTTTTTTATCGCTAATTATCTAACAAATTAAAATTTATCGAGGCAAGCATGTCCGTTTTATGTATGAACAAATTCCGCATAAAATAACATAACTGCAACAATGGAGCAGTTCGATTTTGGAACCGTGGTATTACACTCAATTTGAAAGTCAATTTGAAAGTTGGGGTATGACATCATAAATCATGACCCAAAATATTTTTTTCAAATCGTTAGCGTTTTTTGAGGAAATGAGTTTAACTTAAAGTTCAAAATCGTGGCGTTGCAATTTCATTCCGGTGATCAGTAAAAGCCTTATAGCACAGCCTTATAAATTGTATAATTTACTGAAGCTTTACAAATTGTATATGGACAAGATGCATGTCACAAGCACATTATTACTAAATCATTGAGCCATCAAA